CACACATTTTACTTAACCATGATGGATATACATCTTTCCAACTTGAAGGCCAAACAGATAATATTATGACCAAGCAATAGATATAACCCAAGCTATTATCAAAACAAAAATATTGTTGAGCTGGACTCCCATAAGTTTTCATCATTATACAGCATATGTTGCTGTAACAGGAAAAGTAATAAATACTGTACATACTAAAATTAAACTGGGGAATTAATTATTCCATGAATTTAGAGTATCTGCCCGCATAGGTTGGTCTGTCAGAGGCCACTATGATATTACACAGAGTAGATATAACGTATTGAATACACAGGCAGCTATAGTGTAAAATGCTTGATACACACAAAAGAGCTGTATCTGTGGCTGGAATTTATTTAATAGTATTTTCTCTCTGGTTTGTTTTTCAAATAATTGGCTCCCATTATTGATGCATTTTTCTATTATTAATTTGTTACCTTCCTGATATGGCCTGCCAGAAGCACCAACAATATTACACAAAAATATCAAGTCTTGATGGGCTTGAAAAGGTGAATAGTTAATTCTAAATTCTTGTATCCTCTCAAAAGCCATTGACTGGTGCTATTCCATGTAATCTGTATGTAACCTGCATGTTACATTAATTATTGGGGAATTTTATATGCAGCAGCCATTTCCAACCGCAATTTCCACAGAGCTAAATGATATAAAGGCAGACAATGGTTGCTGTTTCTGTTTGCCATCTCTTAGCCCAGGGCATCTTTGGAAATCCTGCATAGTTCTTTTGTGAACCACAAATAAACAACAAAGCAGGAAAGTGATTCATTTGGAATCAGAATCCCCTAATCTAATCTTTTACAATTTTACTGGTATTTCCATTTCCACCTTCCTCATAGCAGTCCTGGAATAATCTGTACTATTTGTCACTGAAGTGGTGACTCATAATTCAAGTCTTGCCAGTTGCTTATTTTCTCTTAATGTGATACATTGCTTGTTTTGAAGTCACATGCTCACATACTAGTCACTGAACAACAAATCCCCACAGGATATAGATCCCTTCATTTAAAAAAAAGCATCTTTTTGTTTTTACTGTATGTTGAAAGATCATCAACATTTTCCCCAATTTCATTTGTGATTGGTTATTTATATTGGGGTCATAGTATTGTCACACGTCACCTCCTAATGGTTCAGTACTTATTTTCCAGAGTTTTCATAAAATAATGTTACCAAACAAAATGTACCGTACTGGCCTAATTCAAAGATTGTGTTAAGAACTGAAAAAGTGGAATCTGCAGGACACAGGCCAGTATTAATAACTGAACAGATGCTACTCATAAAAAGCAGGAGAACAAGCAATATTAAATTATGTCATGTTATAAAGATAATTTGATTACTATTTATTTGTTTCTTTCCCTTCTTTTGGAATATATACACAGACATGTACAGATTTCTAAATAGATTCTAACTTAAGACGTTTCCTTACTACTATAATAGATCTGAATAGTATCTCCCATCAACTTGAAGGATTCTTTTGATTTCCCTTCTTCAATCTGGATACACTTCAAGTCAACAATTTATACAAACATTGTACCAAATACAAAAGAACTAAAAAGAATCAGGGCACAATGTCTCTGTGTGATATCATTGTGGCCTCTGACAGACCAACCTATGCCAGGCAGGTAACTCGTTAATAACAGGAAATTCTTAACAATGAGAGTAAATAAATAAGCCTTTCACTATGAAGCTTGCTGGATTAATATTTCTTCCTGCTGATGGATCAGCCATAAATATTAGTTCTTCACATGTTGTTTTTCAGAAAAATAACTACAGAATGAATGCACACACAAAATGATAGCATATCCAAATCTATAAACAGTAGTATGAAATACAAACTATACAGTATTGTTATAAGAAAACAAGATTAAAAACCAGCTCTAATTACATATCTATTGCATTCATTGTCTATATATCACAAAGTAACACAACTGAGTGTAAGATTTAAAATATTCAAAGTCCTCTGGCCTTCTTCAAACAACAGATTGGTGCAATGTGCATCCTTTCTCAGGGCTACCTGTTTACAATTCATGGAGATGTATTCCTGCATAATTAGATTTGAAGAAAAGTCTTTAATTATTGCTTAAATTTGCAATCCTATATCAACTGCCCTGTGAGCAAGTGTTCAGTAATATTCTTTTTATCAGTTATGTTTGGGAGCATAGAAATATTAGAGAAAGGATGTGGATTTTGAGCGTTTGTTGCAGCAAGCTTTAATTTTGTTCTTATTAAAGAACAAATTTGATTTGATTCCTTGATTTGAAGGAAAATTCCAGCTTTTGGGCATTCAGCCCAAATTGATTATAGCAAAAATGGATGGGGTAATTTGAAATATGACTCTCTGGTCTTTCCACTTTAAACCATAAAGTAAATATAGTATATAATATAAACTTATACTATCAAGTTATTCCTATAAATATTTGGACTCTACTTTATTACCTGTCATAGTGTGCAGACAGGATTAACCAACTGTTGTTATGGAGACAACAGACGGAAATGCAGTTTCTAGGTGATAGTCTTTTTTTTTTTTTTCAAGTCCCTTGTCTTTGCTGTTTGAGTGTGTGTGTGTGTGTGTGTGTGTGTGTGTGTGTGTGGTGACTAGTTTGGTAATCTTTCATTTTTACTCATCATTTTATTTGAAAAAAGTAAAGGTATAAATTAAAGAAAGCTAAGCAGGGTTGCTTGTGCTTAGGGTGTGGATCAAATTGCAAATTTAGAACTATAGACTACAATGGGAAATCAAAAATATATTCCAGAAGGCAATGGCAAATCATGTCCTTACCTTATTAAGAAAGTTGTGCAGATGTGTCCATGAAATCACCAGAAGTTGAACCTGTTTTGAAGAATGTCTATGGAGATTCTAATCATCCAGGTCATAGTTGTCCCAAATGTGCTTTTCCAAAAGGCAAACTGGAATTTCTTGGAGTTATTTTTTCCCCTTGAAGTTTTTGCTGAAGTTCTGAAGAAGCTTCTGGGATGATAAGTGAAATGTTTTCAAGGAAAAACCAACAACAAAGATGTCCAGTTGTTTTAAAGAAGACTATTTTTAAATCAGATGCCCTCCAGACATATCTATATTTTTTCTTTATTGTCATAATGTTCCACATTTTCTCAGAAAACTCAAGGTGATTTTCTCTGCATATTTTATCCCCACAAGAGACTGACTGGCCTGTATTAACCCAAAGTGCACTGTGGCTAGCAGTACAGAACTCAGTCTTTTCAGCCCATTAAGCATTCCTGTGCATTGACAGTTAGGATTCTCAGAATGCCCATGCAGTAAAAGAAATTAGTTCAATACATTGCTCACTGGTACCGATGTGTCCACATGGATTAATCTTTTGCCTAGGACAACATTATCTCTGCTTTTTAACTTTCTCCATACTGTTACAGATGATTATGCACCTCATGTATAGATTGGTACAAACTAGGCCACAGTTTGTTAAGTCATAATTTATTGAAACAATCACAACTGATAAATGATGTAATAGAGTGTGCTAGGGTAGATAACCACTAATCTCTAAATTTCCCTTTTGTGGCCTTTGCAATCTAATTTAGGATATTGTGTTAACTCAACCAAAGACAATTGGACGATTTTCAATGCAAATAAAATGCTATAGACTATTTAACATTTTTAATGAGAACTTGAGTGTGAGGCAGCAGCTTCATGACAAAACCTATCCCACCCAACATTTTACAATTTGGGTATCCTCCAGATGTGTAGGTTTCAATTTCCAGAGTTCTTCAGCATCATAACCATTGCTTGTAGTTTTGAAAGTTGAAGTCCACACATCAAGATGGTACCAAAAATGGATGCTGGCCTATTCCATAGTCATTATTACTATTATTATTAAATTTATTTGCTGCCAAACTCACCATGGGGCTACTCCAGGTGGCTCACACCCATAAACGAAAGCTAAGAAGTAAAAAGGAAGTTTAAACAAAACAAAATAATCAAAAAAGAAAACAAAGAAAATACATTGATATGACTAATAAAAAAGATGGGTGAGTGGGGAATGGAATGGAATGCAAGGTAATGGAAATATGTTGACACATGCACAGTGATTTCATAATGCATACTCTGCCCATTTGTCCCTGCATTCTGACATCATGACCTGTTGCATTACTTGGTCCTTTTTGCCCTCACATTTAGCTTTTCTCTCTGCATTAGCTATATGAAAACACAAGAAAAAAAATGAATGGGCAGCATCTGGAACTACCTGTCTGGAGGAACCCAAGATTCCACTTGAATAGCATTGGCACTAATAAAATCACCATCAGTCAATTTCAAAAGCCAGTTTTACTTGGAACAGCTTACATCTTGGCATGATATCTTTAACACCAAGAAGCAACAACATCTGCCTATCTCAGGTCCTTGGGAAGAATTTGATAGGTGGATAAAAATGTCAAATCCAGTCTAAACATCTGGCAGACTGCAACCAACCATAATAATGATTTTTTTTTGGGTTTCAATGGAGGCACTGCTTTATTCAGACTTTGTGTGCAGTCTGAGGGGAGGATGGGTTTCCCTTGGATTCACAAGCTGTTATTTGAAAAGCAGGTGGCAGCTGTGGCCAGGGGTGCTTTGCACAGCGTGCCTTGTGTGCCAGTTGCACCCATTCCTGGGTTGGGAAGGCCTACTCATGGTTACTTACGCCTTACTGTTGTCACTTCCCAGTGGACTAGTGCATGGCATTCTAAACAAACAAACAAGTAGTTATTCTTCTTAAATTCTTCTTAAAATATATTTTAAAAGCCCTAATCCATATGCCAATAGGTTTGCCATTAGTCAGTCAGATTCTTAAAAAAATTTTAAATGCTATCGGATCCTGATTCTTTCTCGGGTTGATTATTTTTATCCCATATCAACGATATCCCATTTCACAGACAGAAGCCTTCCTGCGCAGCCCTGCTCAAACCAGGGTGCTCTGTTCCTTTAAGACGCTGCCGAGCCTGTTTTGTACTGTCTCTTTAAAAGGCTGTATCCTCTTGGTCCTAAGCTTTTGAGAAGCGCCATGGCCATTTTTTCGCTCCTAGCCTTTCTTCTCTTCCTTTAATCTGATTAATTTTACTGCCGTCCTACAGATTTAAAATAAAATTAAAAAAAAAAAGGACGGCAAGATGGCTGAGATGGGCAAGGGAGTCACTGCAGGGAAAATAGCCAGCAACATGCAGAAGAAGCTCACCAGGGCCCAAGAGAAGGTAAGGAAAGGGCTGGCAGGAGAGAAAAATCCGGAAAATATAACGGGGAAGGCTCTCGGAGGCTAATCTAACCCGAGCATTTGCGGGGGTCGCTTCCTCATCTCCGAGCCAAAAAGAAAAAAAAAAAGGGGGGGGGAGATGCTATTGCGATTGCTGTGATTATGTGGAATACGGAAGGGGGGGGTTCAACATAAGACACCATTCTCCAGTAATTCCCCCCCACGCCGTATGCTTCCTTTCGTTGACATTGACAGCTCAGCCACGTTGTCTATCTGCCTTCGCCTTCCACCACGTTACACATGCCTTTTTGGGGGGCTTTTTTTTTTGGCTTTGGCTTTTTTTTTTTTTTTTTGCATTCGCTTTGAGGTCCTGGTGCTCAGCAGAATGGGAAGGAGGAAAGATCCGCGGGAGGAAAGCCCCTGCACCCGTGTTCCCAAAGACACGGGGGCAGGGGTGGGTGGGGGAGACTTCGAGACTGGGGGAGGGGACTTCTTTCCAAATCCGTATCGGGGCGATTGCGACTAAAAGCGCAAGATGGGAAGGGTCGGAAGCCTGTAGCCTTAACACATCGGGAAAAGCACCAGGTTGGGAATCTGAGTTGGAGTTTGATCATTGCGATTATAGTGTTGTCTTTTTTTTTTTTCTCCCCCTGTTAAATTCTCGGCCGAGGGGCGGAGCGGCGAAGGTTATTATAGGCGCCCGCTTTTCCGCACGCTGCTGTATAGATCAAAAGATAATCCCGATCATCCGATCCCTCTTTTTTTTTCCTTTTTTTTTTAAGCCCTGTTTCATCGCGCGGGGGCGTTGGCAAGGGGGGGAAGTGAGCCCCCCCCTTCCCCTTGCCGCTTTGGCAATCAGCGCTCGGAGCGAGGCAAAAATTAGGGAGAAAAGCTCGCGCGCTGCCTGACTGACGCAGGACAGCGACTATTTATGGACGCTCCGGTGGAAGCGAGAGAGAATGAATGCGGCTCGGGGCGGAGCTGAGCGAGCCTCCGCTACCCGTTTTGGTTTAAATCTCAAACTAGTTAACCGGCAAGGCCTCGGCACGGGATTAAGAACGGGTCGGCTGGAGGAAAAAAAAAAAGAGGGTGCTTCTTGTGACTAGTCCCCAAGACCTCGCCTCCAACACCTCCGAGCTCCGCTTCGTACACATGGGGCTGACCTGCGAAAAGATCGCCGATCTTTTGAGGGTTAAAAACCGATCGGCCGCGGCTAAAATTACGTCAGATGAAAGGCGGGCGAGATTTCCCTTTCCCGTCTTCTGATCTTGTCAGTTTTTTCACACACACACACACACACACACACACACACACACACACACACACACACACACACACACACACACACACACACACACACACACACACACACACACACACTCCTTTTCCTCTCTCCTTTAAGGTGCAGAGGCTTCAATTGCAAATTCTCCCTGGGGAATTTCCCCTGGAAGTGACTCTGGAGCGCGGCTTCTGCCTTGGGACTGCCGGCTCCGCCCCCGGGGTTCCTTGCAGCCTGACTAACCCGAGTTCAGGCTTCACCCCGACCCTTCCAGGCTTTGAAACACGGGGAAAGCTGCATTCCCCCGTTCCCCTTAGGTGTGAAGTGAAGGCTTTGGAGCGGAGAGCGAAGCAATCCCGGTGGCTACCCGTAAAGCCGGCTCTTCTCTTCCCCCCGCCCTTTTGACTTTCCCTTTTTGGCTTGAGGTGCGAGGTCAGGCCGCGAGAAGGGGCTTATTTGGGAAAAGCGGCTTTCTGAAGAGGCTCTGCGGGAGCTTAGGTTGGGCCAAGTGAGGGCGGGGGGAAGGTGGCCGTGGGAGCCACCAGACTCGCTCATCTTGCGGCCGTAAAGAGGCTGCCTGCACAGGTCAGCCAGCCAGGGGAAGGACAGCAGAAGTGCTGCATAACGCTGGGAAGAGGCAGAGAAACCGCGCGCTCCGTTTTGATCTGGGTTGCTGGTTGTCTTTGGTTGGGCGACAAGCGGGCTGATTTTTCTGCTCCTTCAGATCTGGCCGGAGACAGAGTGTACTTCACCGCCCGACCCCATCCCAAATCTCCCAGCAGTAGTAACAAGCTTCTAAACTGCCTTTTCTTACACACTCTAGATTTCCCCCCCCCCCCCAAAGTCATTTTATGCCTGACATTCAATACGGGCAGAATGCATACAGGGAGTCCTCGACTTACAACATTTTGTTTAGTGATTGTTCAAAGTTGAACAGCACTGGAAAACATGACTTATGACCGTTTTTCACACTTACGACCATTGCAGCATCCCTATGGTCACGTGATCAAAATTCAGATGCTTGGCAACTGGCCTGTATTTATGACGGTTTCAATGTCCCGGGATCATGTGATCCCCTTCTGATAAGCAAAGTCAATGGGGAAAAGCCGGATTTATTTAACAACTGTGTGACTAATTTAACAGCTGCAGTGATTCACTTAACTGTGGTGAGAAAGGCTGTAAAAGCGAGCAAAACTCACTTAACAACTGCTTCGCTTAGCAACAGAAATTTTGGCCTCAATTGTGGTGATGAGGACTACTTGTATTTCACCACTGGAAACCTCTCTCAGACCATTAGGATTAATAAATGGGAGCATAGAATTTAATTCACTACACTGTGTCTCTTGCCTCTATACCAGCTGTTGCTATACAAGCCTTGTTTTGGGAGATCCAGGTTCAAATGTGCAACTGTCTGCACTGTTCATTGGATGATATGAAGCTATTTGGCCTTTGGACCTCCACAACTGCTGTAGTGAAATGATAAACACTAAACACTAATCCTGGCATTGGTTGAGTCTTATCCTGTTTTGGTTCACAGACACTTGACCATCCTGGCAAAGCCTAATAGACACCATGCAACTAATCTGGTAGAATAAGGAGGAAGTTTTCCTTTTCTTTTGGTTGTCCTATCACACTTTCTCCATCCCTTGGGCACTAGTCATCTGTTCAGGGTGTGACCCTGCAAGGCTTCTTGAGGCCCGCTGAGGATGGCCAGTATTTCCTTCCTGGAGATTTTCTTGCATGAAAAATCTTGGTTTGGGAAGGAAATAATGGGGAATTTCTAAATCTCACTGTCCAATTGTCCAGATGGCCAGGAACTGTTTTCACCCTGGAGAAAGACCTTTGCCAAATTCCTATTCATGATTTCATGCCTCACTTCCACCCTCCAACAGCAATGGGGGCAGGACTTCAAACATGAAGACAAAATGTATGTTTAGAGGTGTCTGGGGAGTAGGGACGTGATGGCACATGCATCATGATTTCATTGTGGAAATGATATAAATTACACATTTATGCAATGATACGGTGATATGCAGGATATTATCATGGCTTGCATTCGACTTCTCTGGATTTTTGTGAAGGAGTGATGTCTGTAAGCGCTAACTGAATTGACTTCAAACAGCTGTCCTTGCAGACAGCTGGCAGTTCCAGGCTCTCCTGCTTGTCTTGCAAAGGAATTTTGTGATTCCGTTCTCAGCAGATGGGCTAGCTAAATATTAAAGGAAAGGGAATTGTAGTTTAAAAACAGCTGGAGGGCTACAGGTTGTCTGGTCTTGGTATAAACTATTTCCAGCAATAGAGAGGTGTTGAAAATTACAGTTAAGTTAAGAAAGCTTATGGCATCTCTTATGGCACAGTTGTGATCTGGATGGCATGGAATAGATTGAGATTGAATCCTGTCAAGACAGATTGTTTGTACATCAAAGTTTTCTGTCAGTTCTGGTGTTGTCTCTTGATGGGGATGATACTGCTCCTGAAAGAACAGATTCATGATTTAGTGAGCTAGAGGTGCCCAACTCTCTTTGATGTGCCAATTGCAGTCCTACCTGAAGATTTTGCAACAGTGATGCATCCTGCCATCATTGCTCACCTGAACTTTTGCAAAGTGCTCTGCATGGGACTGCCTTTGAAGATCACTCGTAAGCTTCAGTTGCTCAGGAATTAGTGATCCAGTTATGGTTGCAATGATCACATTACTTTGGTACTTTGGGTTCTGCAATATCTTCCTCTGGTTTCTGGGTAAAATCCAAAGTGTTGGTTATTATCTGCAAAGCCATATGTGGCCTGTGATGGAGATACTTGTAGGACTGCCTTTGGCAGCCCAGAACTGACCAACCTGACTTGTATGTTCTGGGAGATGATTTCCTACTTTGAATGTAGCAATGGGGCTGAAATGGGTAGATATTGCTTTTCCGCGATGATGCCTATTTTATGGAAATCAGGCTTGCTCCCACATTGTTAATTTTCTGAAAGTTAATTGAAATGGAACTGTTTGAGATGCTTTAAGGAGATTCAAATAATGCAAATAATGCCCTTGATCAATTGATTATTGATAGTTTGATTATTATTACGTTCTCGTGATTTGAGTTGTTTTTATTTTGTACCATAAATGCTTTAAAATGTAATCGCAACAGTTATTTATGTTTTGCTTGTTGTAAACAAAGAGACTGCTTGATTACTTGCAGTGGATATTAATTTAATAACCAACCAAATAAATAAACATTTCAGAAGAAGACAATAGCAAGCAATTTCCATTCTGTTGTGAAAAAAATATGTTTATGTAGTTACTGGGGAGTTGTGCTTGACTCAAGAGTGTCTTAAAAAGTAAATCTTTAGTTAAAAACTAATCTTATGTCCTCCAGATGTTGTGAACTACATTTACACAGTTTCTGGTCGTTGGTCATGCTGGCAGGAGCTGATGAAAGTTGATCTGAAACATCTGTTTTAAACTCTTTACAGATTTATTGAGTCTTATTCTGGGAGTTACCCTTTGTGAAATATATTGCAAAATAAGGAAATGATTTTATTATAGAAAGGTATTGCTGGCTTGCTTTTCAGAAGCTGAAATGTTTAAGGATTAATCTGCATCCTGTTTTCTTTGATAAACTTCATGCTGATTTCAGCGGAGATCCCTCTGCTTTCTCATGAAAATATTAATTAAGTTCATAGAATATTTTAGTGTGAAGAGTATCTTAGTACTAGTTACTTCTCTACCATAACCC